CGTCCATGCCCCCCCGTGCGCGTTGTGTCTCCTCTAACTTGGCTGTGTGGCCTGGTCCCTGCAGGAGCTGAGATGGAGCTGCGTGGAGCAGGGTGGACTCGCCCCCTCTCAGCAGGCCCCCAGTGTGGGCCTGCTGCTATGCCAGCCCATCCCTCCTGGGGAGCCTGGGGGAAGGTGCTCAGTTGCCCGATCCTGGTGTTTCTCAAGCCCCGTGTGTTGGAACAGTGTTCTGGAAACCGAGGCCTTGGCTGTGGCCAGTGAGGTCTGTGGCCGTTACCATTCCTTGCCTGAGGTGTGGTTACCCAGTGCCCACCTCCTTAGGGCATGGGTGCCGACTTCGTGCTTCTCGTTGAATGTTCAGGCCCCATCTTCCTGTGGCTGAGGCTCCAAGAAGCAACTGCCCAGTGCAGAGGGACATCAGAGCTGCCCGAGATCTGGTCACCCTCTCTGTGGGCCAGTGGTGGGCTGGCTGGTGCTGGAGCCCCTGGCTGGAGGTGGCCATGGACCCGGCAACCACGAGCTCCCAGCTGGAGCTGAACATACAACCGGGAGTCCTTTGTCTCTGGGTTTTCAGGAGTAAGAGTTCAGTCACCGGACCCTGAGTGGCACCTGTTGCCCTGGGTCTTCTGGCTGTTGCGAGGGCTGGTGCCACACTGCCAGCCATGGCCATGCTGCTGGGTTGCTGTGTTGCCTTTCTGCTCCATAGAGCTCTGCTCATAAAACGTGGGAGTTGGGGATGGGGGTCCATTTTCCGGCATGGAGTGTCGTGTGCCCACCATGCAGGTTGGGAGTTCCAGCCTCTGTATCCTGGCACCCCTCTGCCCCTTGCTTGGCACTTCAGCGGCTTGCAGATCCTGTGGGCTTGGGAGTGTGCCCAGCCTGTTTCCCAGAGGTGCGCAGCTCTGCCTCTCTGTGGCCTCTCCGGCCAGAAGCCTGTGTTTCCCTGACAAGCCCCTCCACGAGCTCCTCAGCCCCTGGGGATTCCGTTGCAGGAAGCCCGGGCCCTCACACTGCTCTCTTGATGTGCCCAATAGACATGGCATGCACATCTGTGCTCGCTGCTGGCTCAGAGCAGAGGGACTGACTGTATGCTGAGGGGACACAACCTCACGTGACAGCTACGTGGGCTTGATAAGTCCCCCTGGAGGGTGGGACACACGGCTGGGGCCTGGTGTCGATGACTGACACTTGTCTGTGGCACATCCATGAGTGTGGCTGGAGGGGCCACAGACCTAGGACTTGTGGTCCAGGCCAGCAGGCCCCAAGGTGGAGCTTGCTGGCATAGGGTTTCTTGCCCAGGAGTCGTGGGTTCCACCCTGGGTTCCTATAAATAAAAGACCACCATCAGGGAGATGAGCGGCAGATGCCTGGCGCTGCGGGATGTGGGAACCCCTTCCTGCCAAGACGCCCTCAGGTTGGCAAGGATGCGTCCATACTCTCTGTGGGCAGCAGGGTCTCCCTGTAGACTGGCAGACAGCAGGCCCCTGCTCGTACAGGCTGGGAGTTCACGTGCGCACTGGCAAGACTCAGCAGCTCACCTTGGGAGCAGAGCAGCTTGCTCACCCCATGCCCCAGGGTAGGCCCCCAAGACGGGCTGTTCTCCACCATGGCACACTGCTACCCCTGGCCAGGGTTGGAGGGTTGGAGACCCCTGCTGGGGGCAAGGTCCTGGTGTGCACTCCGGTGGGCGGGCCCTGGGAGATGGGCATAGAGGTTGCGGGATGCCTGGGCTGTGTGAGGCAGGAGCTGGGGCCAGCAGGGACGCGCGGCCACCTGCCCGCTCTGCTCCTTGGAAGCAGGCGCTCTCAGTCAGGGGCGTTCTGCCAGAGATCACATTAAAGTGGGCTGGGCGGCCCCACACGGTGCAGTGTAGCTGAGAAGCCGGGCTGCTTCCTCCAGGAGCCGCTCAGAAAGGCCTTGATAGAAACGCGCCCAGCGTCTCCTTTCAGAACTAAGCTGCGTTTGAGATTCAAAAGGTCTGCGGAAATGCCAGTGGCTCCAGAGTTCAACTTCAGCGTGCGAGTGGAGCTTTAATTTTTGATGAGTTTTCTCTTCCTTGCTTCGGAAGGTGGAGCTCAGATGGAGGGAGAGCGGTGTGGGCTCTGGGCTGCCTGTGCGTGTGTATGCGACAGGGAGATGGATGTTCTCTGCTAGTTCATTCCTCAGGTGCCTGCAACAGGTGTGGCTGGGCCAGGCTGCAGCCAGCGCCCTGAACCCCGTGCTGGTCTCCGGGTGGTTGGCAAGGCCCGGGCCCTCAAGCAGTCCCCTTTTGTTTTGCTGGGCATGATAGCAGACAGGGACCCAGAGCACAGTAGCTGGACTCAGACCACCACTGCAGGCAGAGGCCTGTCCCACTGCTTTGCCAAGCCCACCCACAGCTGCACACGTGTCCTTCCACTGTACAGGCAGGGAAGGCCTTCGGAGGAGGCTCATGACTGGCTCCCCTGCTGCAGCCTGAGGGCACCTGGTCATCCTGCTCCTCACAGGACCAGCTCCCAGGCTGCTTCCTGCTCACACGTTGCAGAGACACCCCTTCTGGATGCTCAGGTCCCTGCTGTCCTTTGCATGTGCTTGCTCCTGGTGACCCTTTTTGTCCTCTGAGCTCCTGGTTGGAGGGCTCCCCTCTCCCCGAGCTTGGGCCTGCAGGCCACCCCCACTCTGCGACCACCCCAGGCATGCCATGCTGTTCTTGCCCTCTGCTGTGCTTCGTGATGCATTTGTCCTTACTAAGGTACTGTGTCTACTCAGCTTGGCCCTGGCAGCGTGTCCCCCTGCTTAGGTGCCCCGCTTGCATCTCAAAGCCTACTCTATCCTTTCGGAAGAAGGGAGCCGGGAGACGTGAGGCCTGGGCATGTGGCCTGCCTGCTGCGGACCTTGACCTCTCATCCTCGGTGGGGCTCCCTCGGTGTTGTCCTGTCCAGGACCGTGAGTTCCTCTGGGTTTATTTCCTGCTGTTCTTCCATCACCAAGTACTTTACTCAGGAGACACCTGTATGTGCCTCCAGCTGGGCCTAGCACGGTCCCTTGAAGCGCCCTTCTTGCCCATGGGGCCATGGGACACATGGCCTGTGCCAGGTATGTGGGACATGTGACCTGCCCCATGTGGCCTGCCCTGGGTGTATGAGACACGTGGCCTGCCCTGGGTGTATGTGACACGTGGCCTGCCCCGTGTGGCCTACTCTGGGTATATGTGACACGTGGCCTGCCCCGTGTGGCCTGCTCTGGGTATATGTGACACGTGGCCTGCCCCGTGTGGCCTGCCCTGGGTGTCTCTCGGATTCTTGGGGCTGGGTTGAAGCCCCTCTGGAGGAGTGGCTGGTAGCCCGCTCACACCGGTCCAGGTGCCGACTTACTGACCCATCTCTGCTCCCTGGGGTCTGAGGGAGGAGAACAGAGACACATAGGTAGAAGTATTTGCACCTGCTCTGGGTGGGGTGGGGTGGGTGTGGCCCTGCTGTGTCCCCAGGTGGGCCCAGCACCTGCTCTGGGTGGGGTGGATGTGGCCCTGCTGTGTCCCCAGATGGGCCCAGCACCTGCTCTGGGTGACCCCTCTTGGAAATAAGGGTGTTGGACTCCCGGAGTTCGGGGCTTGGGACTTCTTCACTCCTGCCACCTCCTCAAGGCAGCTGTACCCTGTGCCAGGAAAGAGATGCCAGGCTGTTCTTGCCCTTGCATGCTGGGCTGTGCAGACAGTGGAGGCAGGTGCCCATCTTCGCATTAGGCCCTGTGCGTGAAGTGACCTTCCCACTGAGCACGGCAGTTGAGGTGCCGAGGCCATCCTCGCTGCCTTGGTTGATCTGCAGGTTGGTGTGTGTGTGGGGGGGGAGTCTCGCAGCTGTTGTCCTGGGGCGTGTGTTTGCTGCTGCCGCACCAAGAGATGGCGACAGGGAGTTGCCAGCTCTGCCCAGGCCCCGACTTGCGTTAGTCACTCAGCGAGGCTGCAGTGAAGCGTCACCAGGATGCCAGCTGCAACCAGCCTTGGAAGGGTCAGACTCTGGCCTGTCCAGGGTGTCCTGCCTGGGGTCCCACACTCGGTGGGGTCAGGGCCCACTGTGGCCGGCTGCGATTCCTTAGGGGCCGAGTCATGCTTTAGCACCCGGGGCAGGTCCCTGCTGGGGGGAGCTGGGCGCTCTTGTGGTGGTCAGAGCAGGGCCAGCACAGGCGAGGGGTGCGTGCCCAGCCCTGCCCTGAAGGGCTGTGTTCTGGAACCATCCCTGTTTCTACAGATGATTTCTGGGACACAGCTCTGACTCTGTTGTATTTTTGAGATTTCATTACGATTCTTTCTGAGCAGAGGTCCCGCCAGCATGACCTCAGTAATTTCTATAACCACTTCACAGTGCAGCGCACCATGCCCTGTCCTAGGGGCCGGGACCTGCCTGTCCTGTGACACCGTACGGTGAGGGCGAGCTGTAGGGTCACGGAGTTAGTGTTGGGGGCCCTCCCAGGGCTCTGAGCCGGCTTCTGGGGGTGCACACGAGCACTAGGGGCTTGGCTGTGTCCTGAGAGGAAGAAGGACGTGGGCCTGTGTGTGGGGGCACCCAGGGGAGAGCCACGGAGACACGTGGAGGGTGATTCAGGGGAGCAGCCGTGGGCAACGTGGAGGAGAGGGGTGCTTAGCACAGCGACAGGAAGTGTCAGCCTGTGCCTGGCAGGGGCCGCCAGCCCTGCAGGCGCCGTCCGCGCTCGCCTCCCACAGCTGCAGCCAGTCGGATCTGCTTTGCTGGCAGTTGAGCTCATTCATAAGCCCTCTCCCAGAGCGCTGGTGGCTGACAATCTTGCCCATTGTGTGTGGAGCAGTTCCTCCCAACCCCCCATGTTCTGGGATCACCCTGGACACTGGCTTGAGATCCGGAAACTCCTGATGATGTGACTAGCCACTCAGGAGTGAGGAGAGGTGTGGCTGCACGTGCAGCACTCCTGCAGGATGGGTCGGGGCTTGACCGTGGGGTGCTCGACCCTTCCCCAGGCCTCACCACTGTGCCTCTGTCCCTGTGCAGTGCCCGAGCCCTGGAGAAGGTCCAGCAACAGCTGCAGGAGGAGGTGCGCCAGGTCAGCGGGCAGCTGCTGGAGGAGAGAAAAAAGCGAGAGACCCACGAAGCACTGGCCCGAAGGCTCCAGAAGCGTGTCCTGCTGCTCACAAAGGTACAGGCTCCCCGGGCCAGCGCCCTCCATACCGAAGCTTGACCTTCTCCGACAGTAGCGCCTCCTTCCAGTGCTCTGCTGAGCCAGGCGCAGCTGAAGCCGCCGGGGGCATTCCACGCCCCGTTGACAGGGTCACCTGGCACCCCAGCGGCGACTTGGGCCCTTATCCTGGGTTCCTGGGGTGTGGCTCTGAGAACCCAGAATGAGTCCCCCTGTGCCTGTTGTGTTGCTGCGTGGACCCGGTGACGGGGCCCAGGGCAGCTTTTCCAGGCTGCTGAGCGCCAGCAGCTCCTGGGCCAGAGAGTAGCGGGCAGCAAGATGGGGTCGGCCTTGGAAGGGAGGTGTGTGGGGCAGCTGTGCCTGAGCCTGCCTGTCGTCATGAGCAGACACTGCAGGTACGTGCAGGGATGTGCTGTGTGGGTGGGGACGTACCGAAGGCCCCTTGCCTCGGAAGACGAGAAGGGGAAAGGCTGTCCCCCCAGATGCTCTCAGGGCTGGGTTGGCCCACTGCTAAGGGACAGCGCAGCCCAGCCTGCCCGCCTCTGGCTCCCACTGACCCTCACGGAGGCGCCAGCCGTGTCCGACGGGGCCTGCCCGCCCTGGCTTCCACTGACCCTCTTGGAGGTGCCAGCCATGTGCGATGGGGTCTGCCCGCCCCTGGATGTTTCTGATGAGGACTCATGGTTCTTCCTGGTTCTGGAGCTTTTGGAAAAGCAGTCATGTCTCAGTTGGTAGCTGAAGGCCTTCCGTGGCAATACAGGGCCTGGCTTAGAAGACATCAGGTTTGTCCTGGTCCCACAGTGGGCTTTGCAAGGCCCAGTTGGGGCCAACTTTGTCAGGCCCTTGATGCTGGGCACCTCAGTACCAACCTCTGCTCTCCTGGCCAAGAAAATGCCGTTCCTTTGCAGGGTCTTTTCTGAGCCTCCTGGTGCTCACCCGTCCCTTCTCTGCTGCCAGGTGGCTTTGCTGTGGCACACCGCTGGCGTTGGCTCCCGCAGAGTGTGTAAGGCACAGGACATGCCCAATCTCAGCCTGCAGGGGTGGCTCAGGCTGTTGGATAGATGGTGGCTGCAGCCAAGGGGAGTGGTGCTGCCAGGGTCAACAGCGCTGTCTGGAGGGACCATGCAGGTGGGGCTTGGGGCGCAGAGCGACCTCCTGGGGCAAGGTGAGCAGCAGGTGAGACAGGGGACACGGTGGGCTCCCTCCCGCAGGGTCCAGGAGGCCAGGTGTGTGTGGTTGGGGTCTGGCGGTCCCTGTGGGGTGACTTGGAGGCAGGCTGTGGCTGAGGAACAGGCCCAGAGCCCGCCTCCCCACGGGGCCTTGGCTGCTCTCAGTCTGTTACTCCCCCTGAGAAACGCGCAGCCCTTGGCCATTCTGGTCCCCTTCCCGCCTGAGCCCCAGGCCCCAGCTCTCGGGAAGCCTGGCTTGCACCCTCCACATGTCATAAACACCTCCCGGAGACCCATAGACGGCTTGCAGAAGACCTCTTGGCCATGAACTTTGTGGCGTCTCTGCACATGCATTGCTTTCAGAAACTTGGGCAGCACAGCAGCTTTGGGTCCGTTTCCCCTAAACTCTTGAAAGCCCTTTGTAGGTGGTACAGGGAGCCTCCTTGGTCCTCGCTGGGCGCTCACGGTGGGACAGCCTTCCTGCCGCCACATAAGCCATGTGTATGTCCACGTAACTGGGAAATGGGCCTTCTCGTGCCATACGGCATGGGGCTCTCACTTCCTGTTTGCGCTGAGTGCCCTGGCATGGCTGCCATGCAGGTGCTAACCACCGAACGGCTGCCGAACACGGGCTCATCGTGCACGCAGTTGCCCTCAAACGTGGGCTCTGCTGCTCGGGCACTGTGCCCGGGAGGGTATCCCTGCTCCCTGCAGACTGCATCCCTGGTCTGCAGCATCCTTCGGAGCCTAGGCTGGCTCCCAAGAAAGCCAGGGCCGCTTTCGTGCGGCACAGGGGGCTGTAGATGAGATCCCTGGAGGCAAGAAGCCGTGTTACCGGGTTGAAGGTGGCTGGAGTGTTGGGAGAGCAGGGGTCTGCCTGGGCTGACTCAGGTCCCTGTCACCCCCACATTGTCTGGGTGCGTGTTTGTTTCCCGGGAGACCCGATCCAGGTGTTCCAGCTGTTGCTCAGCCCCTGCAGACCGACCAGGGTTCTGGGGTCTCTGCCCAGCTCTGGGGACGCAGTGCAGTGTGTGTGGCCTAAGGTCCTGTTCCCCAGCCCTTTGTGCTTCACCTCTGCCCTCCAGTCTGTCTTGGCACAGCCCTGGCCCCAGTGCCGTCCGTGGAATGCTCTTGCCATGTCAGGCCCTCATTTGTGTGTGGCTCCTAGGAGCAAGACGTGCATGTCTCAGAGGCCGCCTCTGTCTGCTCCTCCAGGGCCAGGAAATGCAGATTGCCCGTGGAGAGGGAACAGAGGGCTGCCTGGGGGCTGTGCTGCAGGAGGGGGCAGAAAGGAGGGTGGCCACAGACTGGGAGATACACACGCACACACACACAGGCTCCTCCTGCCCTAACCACACCCACCTCACACACACACACACAACACAAGTTCCTCCTGTCCTAACCACGCCCACCTATCACATACACACACACACACAGGTTCCTCCTGCCCTAACCACACCCACCTCACACACACACACACACACAGAGGCTCCTCCTGCCCTAACCACACCCACCTCACACACACACACACATGCGCACACACACACACACACACACTGCTCTGTGCACACTCTGACCACGGTCACCAAGCCTGTCTCGCAGCTCCACGGACTAGGATGCACAGACAGCTGGATGGACAGTGCCTTCCTGACACGCCGTTCTGGGGAGGCTTGGGGCGGACACGCGGAGGGACAGCCTGGCCTCATGGAGCAGCGTTCATCACTGAATGCTGGCACTCGCTGTGCGTGTCGGCACCGCGTGCCAGCGAGACAGCTCACGGAGAGGAGAGCGAGCAGTGCTCCCCTGGCTCCCGCGTCCTGAGTGGCTTAAAATAGACCTGGTATTTGCCAGAGTAATTACGCTCTTAGCAGCAGCAGCAATCAAGCCCTCTGGCTGCACTTGAGAAACGTACCCACCAGAGAGCCCCCCCCCCCGGCACCCTGGCCTGAGTGTCGGAGGCTGTAAGGACAGGGCCAGCACAGAGCCAGCCTCCTCGGAGCCTGAGCTTCTCAGGTCTGGGCCCTGAGGCTCCTGAGCAGCGACACACGGTGCTCTCTGCAGTCGGCCAGGGGACAGCTTCCGCGCCACGTGAGGACTGGCCAGTGGTCGCCATCGGCCCACTGCTGACCTGCCTGGGAGCAGGAGGCGGTAGATGGGACCCATCAGTGCCTGGCAACCAACAGCATCTCCTGGGGCACAGAGTGTGTCCACAAGTGCAGCAGGGGGCCAAGTACACCAGAAATGCCTTTAGCTCCAACCTGCCAGGAGGAGGAGGAAATGGGAACTTCCTGCCCTGGGAAGGAGGGAGGGAGGGAGAGAGAGAGGGAGAGAGAGAGACAGAGTGTGTGTGTGTGTGTGTGTGGTTAGGGCAGGAGGAGCCTCTGTGTGTGAGGTGTGTGTGAGGTGGGTGTGGTTAGGGCAGGAGGAGTCTGTGTGTGTGTGTGTGTTATGGTGGGTGTGGTTAGGGCAGGTGCAGCCTCTGTGTGTGTGTGTGTGGTGTGTGTGTATGGTGGGCGTGGTTAGGGCAGGTACAGCCTCTGTGTGTGTGTGTGTGTGTGTGTGTGTGTGGTGTGGTTAGTGCAGGAGGAATACGCAGTGTGGTGGCCCCTGAGAGGCTGACCCAGTGTCCTAGTGCGTGGGCTGTGTTCCATGTGAGGAATTCGCTGGTGTGACCGGGGTGGAGCTGTGGGAGAAGCGGAGCACCATGTGTGTGCTGTCTGCTGCTTTGGGGTTCAGAGTCCACGCCAGCACCTGGCGTCTAGCCCAGCCTGAGCCCTGGCCAGCACAGAGCGGTGTCAGCTCGGCTGGCTGTGTGCTGGGAGTCCAGACAGGGGAGTGGAATGTATCGGGGGTCCTGTCCACCCGCCCCTCCCGTTCTGTCCTGATGTGTTCTAACGGAAGTGTGTATAAAGCATACACAAAGCTTTGAGGTGACCCCAACTCCCCATCACTGGGCAAGTGAGGGGCACTGTGGGGGTGGCCGCTGTGGCTCCCTGGGTTAGGCTGCTGCTCGTGGCGCCGGCATCACAGTGAATGCTCCACTTCCCATCCAGCTCCCTGGTGATGCAACTGGGGATGCAGTGGAGGGTGGCCCAGGTGCTTTGGTCCTGGCCGCATGTAGAAGACCTGGATGGAGCTCCAGGCCTCTGTTCTTGGCCCGGCCTCGCTGTTGGGATCATTTGAGGGGTGGACCAGCTGTTGGGAGCACTCTGTTTCTGCCTGAAGAGTTTGCAAGGCCCCCCGCAGGAGGTATCTGCCCTGTGCCTGTGGAGCCCTGCCCACGGGGTTTCCTTGATGCTTCTTTGGCCGCCACAGACAGCATGCTGCTTGCTGCCCGCATCTCACGGGGTGATGAGGCCTCGGTCTGCCCTGTTGCCTTCCACCCGCCGTCAGTGCCCCTGCGTCACGCACAGCACTGTGGCTTTCCTCTCAGTCATTGTAGTGGTGTTTCTGGTCTTGCAACTTCCAGCATTGTGGTGGAAGGTTCTGGAACAGGTGCTGTCCTTGTCCCTGCTGCGCCCGGGCTTGGCCATGTGCCTTGTCATCTCCGTGTGCTCGCCTCCCAGGCTGTTCTCAGCAGCTGCCCACTCCTGCCTGCCGTGCGTGGTGGGCGTTGCTTTGCCCTGTGCAGCTTGGGGTGACAGGAGGATGAAGCTCTGACTGTTTCCCAGGTATTTTGCCCCTGGCAACCCTCTGGGCTTGTGTACTGGGTCCTCCTGGCCGCCACCTGGCTTCTTGTCCCACTGTTGGAATGTGGCAGAATTTGGCTTCCTCTGGATTCATGCTACTGTGTCATGCCTAGCCAGGTGGGTTCCTGGGGGCGTGCTGGCC